GAAAGGTTTTGTACCAATCAAAATATTACTCTATTTACTGTAACTGTTCAACTCATCACTTCAGTCAAGAGAAAGTTTCGGAGAACAACTTGCACAAGTTAAGAAATGCTCCAACACCAACACTGCTGCGTATTTTTAGACACCAACAAACTCCCATCCCTTGGTGCTGGAAACAAAGATTAAAAAAAACTGCTGTTTTTTGCTCTGAAAACTCTGATCTTCTCAGCACTTGCCATCTCTAAAGTATCCCTGAACTTACGTGGGCTCATGGGGCCAAGAGCCAAAGCAGGAGAGGTTTCTTACAGAACACCTGCCACCCAACCTTCAGAGCTGCATTTGCTTTGGGGTTTTTGTTTTTGAAATCCCTGTCAGCCTTGTGTGCATAACTGAGCTAGAATGGCTTTTTTTGGCACTTATGTGGGAGACTCTGGATCAAATCTTCATTTTTCTCTTCCCCCACAGCCCCAGCAAATGCAATTACTACTAAGCTCGTTATTGCTTTGTTCTGATGGAGCTGCTCCTGTTGGGTAGATATTCACCCAAGCAGAAATCTCATCTCCCATATGCCCACCGAGTACTTTGGATACTTAATTTTGGGCTAACAGGTGACTGGTTAAAAAAAAAATCCTCTTCATTATGACTTCTGTCTACTTAACAGAGCAAGCCAGCAGCACAGACCTACTCAACTCCCTCAGAAACTGCAGATTCCATCCACAGAAACACTCTGATGGACAATTTCTTAGAACACTCTTTACTAAATAACAAAAAAAAAAACCCTCCTATACTGCAGGGTTTGGCCACAGCTTCCATTGCATTCTGAAACACATCTTCATCCCAAGGGAAAAAACAACCTGGAGCAGGTACTGAGGGACACACACACCGTGCTCTCTCCCTCAGGTGACACCACACAAGACAGAGCACTAAAAACTGAGTTTAGCAGGTTCAGTATTTTCTGCATCCCTTGTCAACAGAAGGCTTTGGAAAAAAAAAAAAAACACAAACCTTCAGAACACAGACAGGGAGTTTTCTCCAAAGGAAAAGGCAACAACAGGCCTTTAATGCAGCTCCCCAGTCACCACTGCAGTCGTTCTTGAAGCTGTAACTTCCAAAAACCCTAAAAAGAAACTCAGTTTTGTGCAATCCTCATTTCATGTAAAGGAACAGCACACATTCCTCAAGGAAAAAAAAAATATCACTTAAGGATAGAAAATAAAAATAGAGAGGCAGCACTTCGTTTCACTGTGTATTTGCACAAAAAATTCCACTTTTTTTTTTCTGTGTGTGTGTGGAGGCAGTTCTTTGGGAGCTGGCACCAGGGAGCACTGAGGAGAGCCTGGAGAAGTGCTGATCTCTCATCTGTTGCCAGCAGAAATCCATACATTACTCTGCAAGTTCATATTGACACAAACTAATGCAGACTGAGCTGAAAGGAGTTATCCCACTGAAACCCGAGGTGCATTTCCCACCTGGAAGTTTATTAGCATAATATGCAAATCCTGACATTCCTAATGCATCTTTCCTCAAAGCACTTGGAGGGGAGAATGCAGAGTAAGGTGATGGTATCTCTCTGTGGGAGGAAATCAAGCCTGGTCCACAAAAAATGACATTACTGATGAACCAGGCTCTGAATCCCCAACCAAAATTCTCCCTTGGTCACTTCGAACATGAAAATAATCAGCAAATGAGTTGCTGTATCTTTTTACAGTCCCTGGCTCCATTCTGGGTTTAGGTTTATGGAACCAGCCTACTCTGGCACTGGTTTTTATTGCCTGCCAAACCACAGACTTGTCCTGTCTTCCGAATTCACTGTTTTAAAAGAGATTAAATAAGAAACTATGAGAGTTTGCACCTCTTTGCTTCATTCCAGTCTCAAATCAGGCACTCCAAAAGCCCTCAAACTGTAGGTCTGTCTTTATCTCAAACTCCCCACCTGCTGTTTAGGAGCTTTTCCTGCTTCTGTTTCCAGTATGACCTTGATATCCCTCAAACCTTTCCTTTTTTTACAAACACAACATTCTTCACTTAACAAGTTAAAGAAACAAGAGACCCACGCTCCTGTAGACTGTTAATAAGTCCATAAGAAGCGTATCTGAACCTGCTCTTGCTTATTTTCCTTCCCAGCAGTACCACCAACCTTCAGGAAGAAAGATGTTCCCTGCAACTGCTCCTGGAGGACATTCCACGCCCACCCAACCAACTCTGCTGCCTCCTCAAAAGCAAAGCCAGAGGATGTTGACTCTGAGATACCACCCAGTTCTACCCCCTGGATCATCTCCCAGCTGCAGCCCAGAGCCAGCCCTCCCTCAGCAGCACTCGCATCCCTATCTTGCCTCCTGCTCACGAATTCCAACGCCGTTCGTGAAACAACGGATTGATTGTGGGAGCTCCCCGGAAGAGACACACTTTTCTGAAGCTGAAATATAAATCCCAGACTCAGAAGCATTTCCTGAGCATTTAAACACTGTTTAGTGAGTCAGCCAAAAGCATTTTGTAAGTGCCATCCGTCTCGGGGAAGCACAACTCAGCCTAATCCCCCGGCACGGCTCTCCCAGGGACTGACGGGTTTAAATTCCTGTCAAAATACAGATCTCACGTGACTTATTCGAACCAAAAAAAAAATGAAAAATGAATATTTCAAGCTGGTATTTGGTCTCATCAAGTGGGGATGAGCATTCCACGTTTATATGGGAGTTTTAGGCTTTACGGTGCCACTTGTTGGATGTCGTTTGCTTCACGAGTGAAAAGAGCATTGACCTGCACGGCTGCATATTGAGAATAAATCTGCAGACATCAGAATTCTTTGGAGAGAGCGTCAAAGAAATCTCCCCAGGGATTCACCAGCTGGTTCATAAACCCAACTTGTAAACTGCAGAACCCTTAAAATTGCCTTTATTGCTTAAAATGAGCTTCCCTGCCCCATCAGAGCAGGCTCAGGAAAACTTACTGGCTGTGCACAA